ACACACCATTCCAGCCTGTTGGTAGTTTCCTTGGCATCCCTGATGCAATGCAATACAAACCAACCCACAAGTTTCATCTTTATCCACTACACCGTCTTTAACCCTGGAGTCCCTCGCTACACAGGTCGCCGAACTCTCAACCGTCGTTCGACGACTCGCAGCCCGCGACCCTTCGCCGCGTCCCAGGTCCCGCCATCGCAGCCCCGCATCGTCCCGTGCCTACCGCGACCGCGGACGAGACTATGCGCCTCAGCACCGTCAAAACTACAACCACCGCCGCTCCCCGACTCCAGGTAGCTATTGATTCTACCACTCCAGATTCGGCACCCGGGCGCGTCGGTGTGAGCCCCCTTGCCAATCGTCGGAGCATTATGGATTCACGGTGGACCTTAAACGGGAGTCTCTTGTACACCAGTCAGGAGCCTACAGGCAGGACCAAACCCATCAACATGGCAACAACACCGCCACACACTGTCACACACCACATCGTTACGACTGGCCCACTCCCGTTGCAGGCCCCTCACGACAGAGTTTGACATATGAGGGACCTTGGAATCATACGCCCTTCCAACATCCAAGGGGTGGCAGTTCGCGCCCCGCCCAGGCGCGAGAAGTTGCAATTCTCGCTCGCCTGAAGGTTACTGCTGTGGCTGGGCACCACGGCGGGTAAGGACAAAGCCGAGTCAGCACCAGCTGACACACGTTACCAAGTCGGCATTAGTCGACGCAGGCCGGGCTCCCCTCATGGACATACCCCGGACGAGGCTCAGCTTCGCATATCGGACTTATCCTTCGGCACACCATAGGACCCGACGTATTCCGTTTGGCGACTTAGGTTCCAGTCAATCACCGCTTAGCTCTCCGGACCTGACCGGAGAGTAAACATCGCGCCTGGCCCATTTAAGGCGCGGAGTCCAGGAACCGCGATACACCCTCTGTAGACTCCGTGAACAAAGAGTAATTTAACTACCGGATGTTTATCTATAACTACAATCTTTATTAAACTACTTCTGGCTTAAATCGGTCCTTGTTAGCTATTACGTCCGCTCAGAATGCATGTCCTTGTGTGCAGTTCTCATCAAGCAGGAATTCTTGTATTCATGTAAGTTACATAATTCTTACAGACCACACTTAGAAGCCTTCTGTATTACTGACGTCCATTCTTCGATATAAATCTTGCAGAGGCGATTCTCAGGTCCATTCTTGCTTTTCAATTCTTACAGACAATAATTACGACTTCAACTATCAGCAAGCACGGGTCCTCCAGGAGGAAATATCAATCCTGCGCGGGGATTCCTTCATCACGGAGTGCCGATACGACTCCAGAAAGCGCAGCCGTCCCACATTTGTGAGTACTTGCAATGCCTTGGGACATGCGAGTGCCACTGCCACTGGGCGTCCCAAGACATTCTGTGGTTTCACTTTTCTGACATATTTAAGCACATGTGTGTATATATATATATATATATATATATATATATATATATATATATATATATATATATATATATATATATATGTATATATATATATATATATGTATATGTGTGTGTATATATATATAGATATAGATATACATATACATATATATCTATATAATAGATACATATATGTATATACGTATATATTCGTATATATATACATAAATTTACATGAATATACAATATATATATATATATATGTGTGTGTGTGTGTGTGTGTGTGTGTGTGTGTGTGTGTGTGTGTGTGTGTGTGTGTGTATGTGTGTGTACACACACACACACACACACACACACACACACACACACACACACACACACACACACATATATATATATATATATATATATATATATATATATATATATGTACATACACATATACACATATGTGTATATATATATATATATATATATATATATGTGTGTGTGTGTGTGTGTGTGTGTGTGTGTGTGTGTGTGTGTGTGTGTGTGTGTGTGTGTGTGTGTGTGTTTGTTTGTGGGTGTATGTACATATATATGCACATATATATATATATATATATATATATATATATATATATATATATATATATATATATATATGTATATATATATATATATATATATATATATATATATATATATGTATATATATATATATATATATATATATATATATATATATATATATATATATGTGTGTGTGTGTGTGTGTGTGTGTGTGTGTGTGTGTGTATGTTCATAAAAAAATCTTTCTTGCTAATTTTCCAAAGCCGAAACAAAGAATAAAAGGATAAACACGGGAAATCTCTAAGTAAAAAATGCCCAACAAGAGGAAGGCTCCCTTCCAGGGTGGCCTCCCCTGATGGGCTCCCCTGAAGGCCTCCCCTGATGGGCTCCCCTGAAGGCCTCCCCTGATGGGCTCCCCTGAAGGCCTTCCCTGATGGGCTCCCCTGATGGGCTCCCCTGAAGGCCTCCCCTGATGGGCTCTCCTGAAGGCCTCCCCTGATGGGCTCCCCTGATGGGCTCCCCTGAAGGCC